TGCTTCATTCTACATAATTCATACGTTTTGCGCCATTTCATAGTTTATTGGACGACGTGGGCTGTTTGGGCTTTTTATCATTTTAGAGTTCCCATTCCTGAAAGTGGTAAGAAAAATGGCGTCAGGATGGCATTATTTTTTGAAAAAACAAAACAGAAAAAAAATACATTTTTCGCTCTTTAATTATTGACGTCATTTCGACAAATCTGAAATCACAGAAAAAAATTATCCATAAAGCCAGTTGGACACGACAAGCATGCAATAATTTCTATTGTCCCTTAGTAAAAAAAATATTTCTGTCTTAAATATTCCTAATTTATTTAAATGAAATACATATTAACTCATTCTAATATGGTTTTCTTTGATCAAGAATTATTCTTTGTTACTTACTAAGCTTATCTTAGTTTCGGCACAAGGCCAGCAGCATAGTGAGCCCAATAAAGATCTTATTCGCTCCTTCGTAGTAATTTTCAACCAGATAGATTTGTTAACTGTTACTGAATACCAATTAGTAACTATTACTGAATCTCTGTTAGTTATTGATTGATTTCTTCCTTCATTTTTTACGGTTTCTCAACCCTTTCAAGGTTTACTTTAAAGCCAGATAAAATATTTAGATTGTAAGACTTATTTTTAAGTTAATAATGATTTAGTGATACAAGTCTTACTAATTAACCCATAGTTGAGGGAGAAGAAGTGGATTAATAAATTCCCCAATAGTATTTGCGTGTAAGTGAATATAATGAAGCCGATTTGAATTCGAACTCGGCTCTCCGATTAACAACTCCAAGCCATTATCCATTAGAAAAACCACACATCCACATTTACAGCACCTGGTATTGCCAAGTGGTCACCCATCTAGTTATTGAGTTGACTCGACATTGCTTAACTTCGATGATCGTACGGGAATCAATGTTTCAACGTGATGTGGCCTTTAGCCTCATTTAAATTAAATTCTTTTTAAGCATTTCAACCCAAGCAAAGGCGGGAGTGCCACAAGCAGGCAAGGGGTTACTGAGACTGGGAGTAAGAGTAAATTGGAGGGTTTACGGAAAGGATAAAAAGAAGGACGGGGATCAGGATCAAGACATCAGAACATGTCGATTGACATTACATTTGAATATTTGAAGATTATAGCTATCAAGGAAGAAAGTAAGAGGAAGGGAGTTTCACTGTCGGGAAGTGCAAGAGAAGAAGCTGTTGGAGTAGAAGAGGCGGTTACATTTAGTCGTTTCGACAGTGAAAGGGTGGGGCTGAGATGCCATCCTAATAGCACGCTTAAATTCATGCAAATAGGGTACCAACAAACGGATGTCAATTTTTTTAAATTTTTTTTTTTTTCATTTATCTGAATTATTATCTTGATTTCTGGCTCATATTCGATAATATATATTCCCGTGTCTGAAAATTTTTAGAAGTATTAGTCATTATCAAAAGCTTTCTTTTTGTTTTTTGTTTTTTTTTTTTTGTTATGTTCTTTTAATTTTCAGTTTGTACTTCAATAATTTTTTGGAGGAAATCTGTGGTCTTAATTTCTTTTGGTCGAGTAATTTACATTTTTTAATCAGTCAGCCATGTCACTAAGACGCAGGTTGTTAGTGGGGTTGGAAAGAGATTAAGAAGAACTTAATGAGAAGATATCAGGAAAGGACAATAAAGGAACAAGGTTAGAGAAAACACAAGATGGCGGTTGACATTTCATTTAAATTATCGAAGATTACACTGGTTGACCTTTTTTTCGACCCAAATGTTGTTAGATACTGGGCACTTGTTTTTGGGATATTTTTTCACACTGAATCTGAAAATCAAGTCCATTTTGGCGCATCACATCACGTTTTCTCAGTACAGATAATTTTTATTTTGCTTAAAATAGGCCAAAATGCCTAATTCACAGGGATATGCCACGGCTTAAACATGGGAGTGACGTAGTTGAAACATTTCGTTTCATGTTAAAATGATTTATCGTCGACGAAAATTTTTTTTCCAAATAACTTTCAAAATGAATTCTAAAGTTTTTTTCATTTCAGATAAGGTGACCTGAAAATATTTGATATCTCTCATAAAATCAAGCAAAATCTTGCGGACCGTGGGTTTTACGTGTTGTTAAATTAGGAACACGTGCGTTTATTCCTGCTAGAAGAAGGTCCACTACAAGAACATGGCAGACTCAGAGATTGAACCCACCATAAAGAAGTGTAATGAAAACAACAAGACCGATATATATATATATATATATATATATATATATATATATATATATATATATATATATACCTAGTGAGCCAGACAAACCTAGCTAGGTTTCACCTAAACGGATCCGTTTAGGTGAAACCGAGGTAGGTTTGTCTGGCTCACTAGGTGTATCTAGGTCTGCTCTACGGTTGTATTGAGCTCTTTTGTTAGTTAGTTGTTACTCGTATCGGGGTTTTTTCTTTGGGCTTCAGACCTGCATCTGTGCGATTTTTTTGTCGGCAGAAGTTCATGTTTGTAACTCTTTCTTTTTTTAAAACCTTTTTTTCCCTCGAGATTGATTTGATTATCTAATCAAAAATTCGAGGGTTTTTCGAAACGAGTCTAGTTATCTATATTTATATATATATATATATATATATATATATATATATATATATACAAGTACATGTATTAAACAACAAAGTTTACAATGGACATAGACATTAATATTATGGTTTGTGTGTGGACACAATGAGTTTGTATTTTGGTGAATGTTCGTACGTACGTGTATGTGTGTATAATGTTCCAGGCGTCTCCCACAAATGGGAAGACGCAATCTTCTGCGAGAGTTTACATCGTAGATGTGTTCGCAGAAAATGAAGGAATGAAAAAGTGGACGCGGCAAGAAATCGCCCAGTATTTATAGTGAAGGGAAAGCTTCCCCTAATGAACAATTAGGAAAATAAGGAAGAGTTAACTCCGACAGATATCTCACTGTCATACAGTCTCTGTATAACATGCATAGGGACATCGATAAATGCGGGTTGTTAGGGTGTTGGACGAGTGTATTTGAGATTAGCAAGATTCGAATTTTATTTATCAGTGCTTAAAATAGCCGCAAAACACCAGATAGGCATAGCTAACTAGGCACTTTGCAGATGGGATGGCTGATTTCTGCTGTAGCATCAAAAGAGTTCAACCTTTTCAAAAGAACCATAGAGTTTCCAAGAAGAGAAGATTTATAACTTTGGATGGACAAAAATTAATGTATTTTTCCCTGTATCTTCAATGTAAGTTTTGATTTAAAAAATTGATGACACATTTTTACCTTAATTTAATTTTGTGAGAGATTTTTCTGAAAACATTTTTTCTGGACTGAAAATGATGAAAATTCATTCTTTAAGTTATTGGGATACTTTTTCTAAGATAAGTTATTCTAACCTGAAAACGTTTAAGGTTGGTTCTACTTGGCTCAGGCATATCACTGTTAAATGGATATTTTGGCCTATATTAGGAAACATAGAAATTATCTGTACTTAGAAAACGTGATCTGATGGGGCAAAATGTATTTTTGTTTTACAGATTCAGCGTGAAAAAATAGCCCAGAAACATGTGCCCATTGCCCAACGACATTTGGGTCGTAAAAAATGTCGATCGGTCTTATAATCGGCAAGGAAGATCGGACGGGAGATCTAAAAATGAGAAGGGTGAAAAAGGAAATTCTTGCGGTTATATTTAGTTCCTTCCACGGTAAAATGGTGAGGCCTAGTTGCTAATCAAGTATCACGCTTAAATTTATGTTGCCACCAGTGGGAAAAGCTCAGCAGAGTAATTACCATGAAAATATTTCCAAAAAAGACAAAGAGAAGCTACATCACGTTGGTTAGAAAGTAACTAAAGTCGAGATGCCTAGTCGGGATTGATGACATTACAGACGCTTCTTTGAATTTTTTATAGAATCTCGAGATGTACAGCAAGAGCACCAGATATGGCAGCGATATTCAATATACGGATGACTTGTGGATTTATAAATATACAAGATGCAATCTGACGAGAGAGTTTTCTAACACAACACTGTCAACCAATTTACCTAGCAATAGACGCAGCAAATGATTCATTAGAAATGATCCAACTAATGTAAGAGGAAAACGTGAGTATTTTTTTTAATTGATGATGACGCTATTTCATCATACTAGAAATAAAGATCTGACCTTTCATCAATCTAAAAAGACAGTTTCCATCAAAAGCAAACGTAGCAGTAGTAAAAAGAATAAAACAGACGTATCTTCTTCGCTCCGTGAAAATCCAAAGTTGACGCTTTCAAAAGCTTCCCTTAACCACGGAATTTTCAGAACAATTGGGAACAGGTAAGCCCAAACTTTAAGGAAACAAAGAAGATAGAGAGACAATAACCCTGAGATTTAACAAACACAAAACCCAATATTGTTAATAACATCACAAAAAGAAAAAAATGCACATTCTTGTAATTAATTTCAACGCGTGTCTCAAGGTTTCATTATTGTTTGTTGTTGTTGTACGGTTTATTCACTTGATTTTCAGTATAAAAAAATAGAAAAAGAATCCTGTACCAACTACTAATACATGTAACAACGAGGTAACTTACGTTAATATACCCAACATCGACAAGAAAGCGTTGAGAGTTTCTTTTCTGGAATTTAGTATCAGCAATCTCTGTGGTGATTAATTGAATGAGGTTTGGTTTTAAATACGTTAAAATGGTGTTGTTCGGTAAAAATATTTTATTTATACGAGTTTCATTAAAAAAAAAGCGAAAACTCATTATTCACTGTGTAGATATTTTTAATAATCGAATGCCACAAACTATTCATACTGAGGAGGTGGAGGTTCATATAAAATGGAGGAATGCTTAATATTCTGACGAAGTTGAAGAAACAAACCTACAGCGAAGTACTTTTGTCTAATGCTTAACCAATTCAAAGATCTCCTTTCAAAGTTATAGAAATTCTTATCTTCGTTTTTGGTATTTGTTTATATACGTGACCTCTCCTTCTTGCGCGAAATAATGA